CTTTAGACATTACAGCAGGTAAGGGACCAGGAATACCCACATTCTCCTCGCCCTCGTCATTATGCTGTTCTCACAGGGAAGCTATTCGTAAGAAAGAGTAACTAAATGAAAATATCAGTAATATTAATCATTCATCTAGCCCAGCAGCTCTGCATTCAAGGCCATCTGGTAAGAGTTGTGTTGGTCATATGCTTAGGAAACCTCCGGACCTAAGAGTCTAGCCTGTCCTTGGGGAAAGACGACAAGGAGAGAGGTGCTGTATCACCCTCCAGGTTGTGTTTGTTCTGGGAACACAGGATGGAATTCTGCCTACCTCCCAAAGCCCCTGAATCCCTGGTTCCCCTCACCCAGACAGCTTACAGACTCAGCTACGGGAGAAGAAGCATTACTATTAGGTTGGTGCAAAGGTAATTGCGCAAAACTCTCAATTACCTTTGCACCAACCTAACACGAAGAGGAAACATGTGGACTGGGACAGTGACAGAAGATAACACTCATGGTGACACCTTTAATAAGGTTTCACTCTGAGCACCAGCGAGTATGCCTCCATGACCGCTTCAGATTCTGACCGATCAAATAATCACTCCCTTTCCTGGGATGGGGTGGGGCAGCCAGGGTACAGCTGAGGGCAGTGTGATAGGAGCGAATGTGCCCATGGCATCCCCTTGCCCAGCATTCTGTGGGGTCGGTCACTATAAGTATCCAACCACCTAGGGGTGCTTGCCTGTCTCCCCTACTCACCTGACCCTGGGCTGCATTCCTGTAGTAATGCTCTATTTCCCATCAGGTGGAGAGAGCTGGTTTCTGCCTACTTCAGGCCTGCGCACAACCTACTATTTCCATCTCCAGCTCAATATCTTCATGGCACAGAGAAGGCCACCTCTTCTAGCTTCTGGCCGCCACTCAAAGGGGGCACTGCCCGCCTTGGGAAGCCTTTGCCTGGAATCCCTCTTTGTACGGTGCCTCTTGTAAGAGGGGAGGGACCTCATATGGCACCTCTTGCAAAAGGGGAAAGGCTGTGGATTGGGGACTTTTAAAACTGTTTAATTGCAAATGTTCACGCTTCTTGAAAGAAGAATGAAACAAGAGGGAAATGTGCAAAATAAAATGTTACAATCTCCTTACCTAGCCATCTCCTCTTCACACAAAAACATTGTTAAATGCCTGGTGTGCTTTCTTCCAGACCTTTCTCTAAACAGAGGGAGGGTTGTGAGGGCAGAAGGACGGGAGGGATTGTTGCTCTTGTTTATAATCCTACTATTCTCTATCTATTGTTTACAGATATATCTTTCCATGTCAATGCATAGAGATTTTTCTTATTGAAATTATATCTGTATATATGCATATTTGAATTAGATATACTTGAATTATATGTATTTGGATTACATTTATGTATGTGTGTGAGCATAAATATCTATATCTGGATATCTAGATATCTAGATAGATAGATAGATAGAGATAGATAGATAGATAGATAGATTTTAAATCATTACAGTCAGATAAAGCAAGAAAGTGTGTCAATATCATAATAGCAGACATTTAGAAAAATTCTTTGCAGGCATAAACAATGGAAAGGTATAAAAATTAAGAAAAAATCCAAAAAGCACGGTTTTCTCAACACAACAAATATGACCATAAAAATGATCCGACCCAGTGCATTGGTTCACACCTGTAATCCCATCACTTTGGGAGCTTGAGGTGGGTGGATCACCTGACATCAGGAGTTCAAGATCAGCCTGGCCAACATGGTGAAACCCCACTCTACTAAAAATACAAAAATTAGCCAAGTGTGCTGCCCGTAATCCCAGCTACTCAGGCTGAGGTAGGAGAATCACTTGAACCCAGGAGGCGGAGGTCACAATGAGCCGGTATCACACCACGGTACTCTAGCCTGGGTGACAGAGAGACACTCTGTCTCAATTAAAAAAAAAAAAATCTCCAGGCAGTGTGACATATTTTGCTTACAAAATTCGTTTTTAAAATATGTGACTGTCAGGACGCTCCTCTTTCCCTTCTGTTCTCACCATAAACAAGGTTCTCACCATAAACAGCATTAACAGTCAGACTTTTGCCACCAAGACGAATGCAGAGAAGGGGTGCCCAGGAGGGAGATTTGCTAGCAGTGAGGGAAGGATCACCCAGTGAGATGCTCACAGCAGCCTAAGGTCCTTTTAGACCTCCACAACCAACATGGAGCTGTTTAGGGGGATGTTTAGGATTGAAGGGGGAAGACAGACAATGCTGCCCAGGAATAAATTAAATTAAAGGAGGTATCCTCATTATGACAACTATCTGTCAGTAGTTCACCCTCCACCTGCACTCCTCAAGGGAATCCTGCCTTTTAGCAAGCCTGACCCAATATAGAACTGTCCATCAGCCCCTCCATTCAAGTAGCCTATTAGCAAGGAAACACGGCCAAGTGGAATTTTTTTTCTTTCTTTCTTTCTTTTTTAACATAGTCTTGCTTTGTCGGAGTGCAGTGGCACAATCTCGGCTCACTGCTACCTCCACCTCCCAGGCTTCAAAAATTCTTGTGCCTCAGCCTCCAAGTGGCTAGGACTATAGATTCCACCACCACACCCAGCTAATGTTTTGTATTTTTAGTAGAGATGGGGTTTCACCATGTTAGGCAGACTGGTCTCGAACTCCTGGCCTCAAGTTGATTCACCTGCCTCAGCCACCCGAAGTGCTGAGATCACAGGCGTGAGCCACAGCGCCTGGCCCCAAGTGGAAGTTAAAATAGCACTTTTTAGCAGTGAAGCTAGGCTCAATAATCTCCCTCGCTGAGCTGCCTAGTGAAAGTGGGGCTGGAGCACCTTGGATGCGGCAAATGCTCTTGCTGCCCCACCCACAGCCCCTCTGCAGGCACTCACCTTTCAGAGTCACTTTAATGGCTTCTTTCTGCAAGTTTCTACAACCTTCAGATCCAGCTTTCTCCAGCCACTGGAGCATCCTCAACCTGTGTACAGGGCAAGCTAGAAGAACGAGGGAGTGACTGCCTACAGAAGCAGCCTGCAGCCAATCGTGAGTGAGCATTAGATGCCGTAGCTTTGTATCTGTCAGGCATGAGGGGCATCTACACACCCTGGCAGAAGTCCCAGTGGGATGGAGCACCAGTGCCCACTGACATAACCTGCTCTGGGCACACCTGAATTGGCTTCCTTCCCTTCCCTGCCCATTCTCACTTCCTTGACCCCTCCTGGTGCTTCCCAGATCACCTCTAAAATGAACCCTTTGCACCTAAATCTTTATCGCCTCCTGGGGGAAACAAACCTAAGACACCAGGTCTTGAAGTCTTCCCTCCTATTTGTAATTTTCATCCTTTTGCAAATTTATACAGGTCAGAGAAGCACGTATCAATTCAGGGAAGCCTAACATTTTCAGACACCCTTAGAAATGTTAAAAAAATGATCAAAAATAAATCAAAGTAAATTTTTTAAAGGTATACAACCATAAATATGATCCACTTAATCTTAGAAAACAAATTAATAACAAAACTTTTCTTTATAATTAAGTAGTGGAGCCCCTCAATGCTCACATTATCAGGAATCCCAGGATGTCTTTTTCGAGGCCTCCACCTGCTCTCCAACACCAAGCAGAGAGAGAAATGGAAATTGTGACCAGTCTCCTAAGGTGTCCCAGGCTGGGTTTGTTATTGGTCTCATTGCTGCCACTTAAGCTAGTTCTTTAAATCTTGTCTGCCTTGATGGAAGCATCCACACCCTTGGTGACTCGGTTCCCAGCACCGGCTTCAGGCTCAGCTTTGGGACCCATGTACCCAACCACGGGGCGCCACTCAAGTGTTGGGGGAAGAGTCACAAGTATCATCCAAGGCGACTGTCTGCAGTCGACCAGGAAAAGGTGAAAATGGAAGTATCTTTTGACAAATATACAACATACCGTCTCACTCAGTCCCCGCTAAATGAATGCTCTGAAAAACTCCTAGAAGGATACACATCGAAATGTTTACGTTGTTGTTTCCGCATGGTGAAATTGGGGTTAATTTTTATTTTTCCCTTCTGTTTCTATGATTTCTAAATATCTTCTGTGAAAATGTATTACCTTTGCCACCATATCTTTTAAATGCTATCAATTTTTTTTTTTTTCTGAGACCGAGTCTCACTCTGTCACCCAGGCTTGCGTGCAATGGCTCGATCTCAGCTCACTGCAACCTCCGCCTCCCAGGTTCAAGCAATTCTCCTGCCTCAGCCTCCTGAGTAGCTGGGATTACAGGTGCGTGCCACCGCACCCAGCTAATTTTTGTATTTTTAGTAGAGATGGGGTTTCAACATCTTGGCCAGGCTGGCCTTGAATTCCTGACCTGGTGATCCACCCGCCTTGGCCTCCCAAAGTGCTGGGATTACAGGCTTGAGCCACCGCACCTGGCCTAAATGCCATCAATTTTTTAAAAAAGAAAGTGCCATTGGTGTTCACCCAGTCATTTAACAAACACCTATTGAGTGTTTTTTTTTTAATGTGCCAGGCACATCCTAGGCACTAAGAATGCATAAATGAACAGAGAAAATGCCTCCTCTCATGGGTGTTACACACTCGTGAGGGAAACGTGTTACAGAAGTCAGCAAACACATATAGAATATAAAGGTCTCGGTGAATGTTGGAGCAAGAGCAAAGCAGGATGAGGCACAGATGATCCAGGAAGATCACGTGCAAATGAAACCTGCTCGGTTCAAGCTGCTATTATTCAAAGTACAACAGATGCATGTATTATAAACAATAGAAACTTATATCTCATGTTCTGGAGGCTGGAAGTCTAAGGTCAGGGTATCAGCACGGTCAGATTCCACGAGGTTTCTCTCTCTGGTTTCCAGATGGCTGACTTCTTATATCCTCACTCAATGGAAAGAGGGAGAGAGAGGGATCTTTCCAGTATCTCTTTTATGAGGCCACTAATCTTGTTTATGAGGGTTCCTCTATTGTGACCTAATCACCTCCCAAAGGCCCTACTTCATAATACCATTCCATTGACGGCTAGGATTTCCACATATGAGTTTGCATGGGAGCAGGAGGAAGAGTATACATTCAGTCCATAAATGAGAAACCATCCAGAAATTATCCATTTCAAAGGAGTTACTGTATCTACTCTATCCTTCATTTTTTGCATGAAAATCGCACAAACTATTGGAAGACAGTTCATCTTTATCTTGCATTTCAGACTAAAATGGTATGATTTACCTTCTGTATAAAATGATCAAAAACAAGATCAATTTATCTGTTAAAAGTAACTTAAAAATATTTTTTAAACTAAATTCAGGTTTTATAAGTATCATCTTTCTCAATTCTTTCGATTTTTCCCTTTTTCCTCACTTTCTGGACTTCTACTTTCCAAACCCGCCTACAAATGCCCCTCCACTGTATAGCAACAGGCTCCACAATCAATGCAAGATACCATGATCACAATGACTTCCCAGCCATCCACAATCATTCTTCAGAGCCAAGTGTCAAGGAAGTGATGAGTCAGCCTTCATCATGAATGCCTCGGCCAAGTCGGCCCACACAAGCTTCAGGGGTTAGGAACCAGAGTAATCCCTTTACACCATGGAAGAGTCACTGAAGTTCAGCTGCCTTTTGCAGCCTGCACACCACTGTTGAATGTTATCTCAGGAAAGAAGGACATCCAATATTCACCCAGGAGCAAGAATCCACAACCACATTTACCCCCATCCCTTGGAAATGGTGAGATCAATTTTCTTCTTTCTAAGTCCTCTTGGCCATTTTCAAATGTAACGCAGGGTGTCCCAGGGGTCCCCTTGTGGCCCATTCAGTGTGGCCAAGAGCCCCACAATCCGCACGTACACAACAGCTCTCAGCGATGCTACAGAGCAGGACAAAGAAGGACAGAGAGAGGCAAGAAGCCAAGGAGAAAAGGCCGCCAACTGGAGAGGCTCTTAAAGAGACACCATTAGAAATTTTAAAAATTACTGTATAGAAAAGAGCTCAGTTGGTTGAACTAGAATGGTTGCTATAAAACAGTTGTTCTAAAATTCTCAAATGAAACACTGCTCAAATTTCACAAAAAGCTTCTGCATTCTGCAGTTAGAAACTCTAACTGTGGCATGGGTGAAATTGCTCTCCTTTGGCCTCAAGAAGTGGGTGTGGAAAATGGCATCCCCAGGAAATCAAAGAGATAGCCTTGTGCTTCCTCTGCTAAGCCAAAGAGAAGCTGAGCACTGAGGATGGTCAGGCTTCAGACAGCGAAAGCCTAGAGCCAGGAAGATGAAAACGTTTGAGCAAAGACATGACACCAAGTCCGTGCACTAAATCTGGACCCATTTATTCTTAAGAGTACCCTATTTACTTATTTTCTTAATTCTTAGTAAGATTGATTATCTAGTGTTTTGAGCCATGCCAGATTAGAAGAGGTAAATAAGAAAATGGGTCAAGGGTGCTGCTGGGTCAAAAGCAGAAACATTGATCTTTTTCTTTTTTCTTTTTTCTTTTTTTTGAACGGAGTGGCTGGAGTGCAGTGGCACAATCTCAGCTCACTGCAACCTCTGTCTCCTGGATTCAAGTGATACTCCTGCCTCAGCCCCGCTGGTAGCTGGGACTACAGGCATGCATCACCACCAGCAGCTAATATTTGTATTTTTAGTAGAGACAGGGTTTCACCATCTTGGCCAGGATGGTCTCAATCTCTGGACCTCGTGATCTGCCCACCTCGGCCTCCCAAAGTGCTGGAATTATAGGTGTGAGCCACCGTGCCCAGCCCAGGAACACTGATTTTTAAAGACCTCATGTACAATAAAAGTGACAGGTATGTGTTAGAGAAAAGATTAACAATTTTATAATGGCCAACAAGAACCTCCCATGCAAAACAGTGCAGGTTTATTAGAGGCAAAATAGTCTAATCCCCTCATCCATTTTTAAAGATATTACAGAAACTGATATTCATAATGTAGGCTTCAGGGAGTCAACAGTAAAGGCACTTGCATTGGGTATTCTCATGGAATGAAGTGAAGGGGTTGTGTTTTAGACCAATTCCCATCAAAAATGGTCAAGCGGAGGCTGGGCGCAGTGGCTCACGCCTGTAATCCCAACACTTTGGGAGGCCGAGGTGGGCGGATCAGAAGGTCAAGAGATCGAGACCATCCTGGCCAACATAGTGAAACCCCATCTCTGCTAAAATACAAAAATTGGCTGGGCGTGGTGGCCCATGCCTCTGGTCCCAGCTACTCAGGAGGCTGAGGCAGGAGAATCGTTTGAAACTGGGAGGCGAAAGTTGCAGTGAGAGGAGATCACATACTGCAAAGACTCTAAAAATATAAATAAATAAATAAATAAATAAAAGGTCAAGTAGGGAGAGTTAACTCCAAAGGGCCACACAGGTATTTTGGGGTTGGTGGCAATGATTTATACATTGATTGGGAGGTGGTTGCACAGATGTTTCTATTTGTCAATTCACCAAAATCTATACTAATGGAGGGCATCTTATTGCATCCAATTACCTCAATGAAATTGATTTAAAAAATAAAAATAAGGTTCAAGTTAAAATTTGGCACTTACAAAGCAAGAGTCAGCTAACTGAGACTCCACTAATACACACAATGACTTAGTTCCTTGGTGAGACAGGCAGTTAGATTAATTCAGGAGCACACATTGTGCCAGCACTGTGCTGACTCCTGAGGATACAAACATCTTGGAAACAGAGTCTCTGCCTTGGGAAGGCCCGTGGTTTAATGAATTTAGTGGCTACAAGATGCACTAATTTTCTAAAAACCTCAACACACATTAGAATGGGGTGTTGAAAAAGGGCACAGAGAGCCCCTCTAACATGGGTATATTGTTCTTCTCTTCTTCTCTAGGTTTTGCTGACCTACACTATTTTCTGCATTGGGAATAAAGCCCACTATTTCCAGCATCATTTTAAACAGGAATCATTACCAACCCCATCTAAGAAAAATTCCAAGGGAGCTGTTGGCAGAGTGGACTTTCCTCTTGATTTCTGAGCAATAAACAGGACTTGTCACAGGCTGTCAGAATCTGGTAGCTTTGAAACTACCTATTGGGTGGGAGAGGAGATACAGCACTGAAAAAGTAGGCTGCAATCCCCCTGAACCAGGACAAAGGGCCCCAACCCTCAGCAGTCTGCGACTGTCTGTAAAAACCTATGGACGGTTACTAATATAAAAGTAGAAACAGATTAGATGGCTGAAAAGAAGAGCGTCTTAGCCAGAACCAGGCTTGCAGAAAGATTTTATATACATTTGTTGAAAGACTTAAGAAAATACCAAGCTTTTGCTCTTATGGCTGCTTTAAGACTGGCACAAAGGAGGAGGTGAAGCAATCCAATCTCTCAATTTGGCTGAGTGCTGTTACACCCACGCCCCTGTGCTTCCCCTCTGCCCAATCCCCGCCCCTCAGCCTATTTCCCGCCTCCTCTGACCAACGCCCGGCCCACCTCAGCCTAATCCCCACCCTCTCAGCCTAATCCCCGCCCCCTCAGCCCAATCCCCGCCCCCTCAGCCTAATCCCCGCCCCCTCAGCCCAATCCCCGCCCCCTCGGCCTAATCTCACCTCCTCAACCTCATCCTGATTCCAAAAGGTTTACAGGCTCAATCAGAGGATGCCTGGAAGTTTCTATGTGTCTTGGGAACTGTAGCCCCAAGTGTAACCCCTCCCCCAGCTCTCCCCTTGGCCTGTTATGTACTGGCAACGTGTACAGTCATTGCCCCAGAAGGAAGCAGTATCTAAGTCAGATTGTAATTCTCTTAAGGGAGGGATGACATTTAAGGGAAACAGTGAAGGATGGTGAAGCGCCCTGCAACCAGCCATTGCAACCCCTGGCCTGGGGTCACTAGATGCAAATAAAAATGGAGGACATCAGTTCAATTTGAATTTCAGATAAACTACGAATATTTTTTAGTACAAGTTTGTCCCAAATATTGCAATTACATTTACTTACACTAAAAGAATTACTAGTTGCTTAACTGAAATTTAAATTTAACTGGGTGTCCTATATTTTATCAGGTAGCCATACCCAAAACCTGAAGGCGACTTGGTGTTACTGGAGCCCAGAGAGTTGGAGCTAAAGAGAAGGTCGGAGAGGCCCAGCAGGTACAGTGTTCACTGAAGTGTACAGACCGGAAACAGAGCCCACTGCAGCGAAGAGCAAGGAGAAAGATGGTATCTCTCTCTCATCTCGCCCTCTAATCTCCTGAGGGCACTTCCGAATGGCAGAAGGCAACTGGAAACCAGTCTACAAGACAGCCTCACTGCCATAACCCTTAGGAGTTTGTATCCTGGAGCAGTAGCCAGCAGAGAAGGCAGAAAATGGATATGAAGTTTGAGGCAGACTAAGCAACATAAAAATATTCTGTATTCTTTCTAGAAGCATATGGAAATTTTTTTTTTTGCTTAATACCACCAATAAAGCTGAATTCATAGAAAGCAAATATTTGCAGTGTCTCCAATTGCACAGTAACAATAGAGCTTGAATTTCATATAGATATATTTACTCACACACATGAAGACACCTCTTTCTAAACATGTACATGTTCAGCTCACAGGAAGCTGGAGAAGGTGCTTTAATGAGCAAAGATGACACTGTAAAGTGTCTCTCAGACAGGTAAAGACTTCTCATTTTGCACCTGGGAACTATCTCAAGACAGAAACAAGTAATTCCATTGGCCATATTTTTGCTGGCAATTAAAAAGCAAACCTGGGCCAGGTTTAACTTGCTATTAGAGTTGAAAGAATTAAGCGTCTTTGGCACCTCCAGTGTGTTTTAGTAGTAATAAGTATAATTAAATTTGTTTATTATTTCTAACTTCTTTGCCCTCTCTAAAACCAAGTTAAACATTAAAGACAGTGCCAAGAAGGGGGAGGGGACAACACTGAAGTGCTATACAGACCCTGTAGCTTAAGGAAGGAGGTGGGGCGGGAGGTTGGGAAGCATCTGGAAAGGTCTGAGAAGGATGGGGCTCCTAGTTCTGCCTGGTTCTGTCTCTTAATTGCCTCCAGCTCCTCGTGCAAGTCATTTATCCTCTCCAGACCTGTTTTTGTTTATTTGTTTGTTTGCTTTTATCTCTGTACTAAGGGGGTTCGTTTCAAGCCATGTAGACCTTTTCCTGAACTAAGAGTCTGGATCCCGTACGTGCTTTGGAAACTCAATTCTCAATAATCTCATGGGACAAGAGTAAACAGAAATCATATCCTATTATACTAACAAAGGTGTTTTCACTACCCAAGATTAACCTAAAGACTGGCCAAGCCCATTGGAGCTCAGCTTCCATTCAGCGGATTTTACCTTGTAGCTTCTAGAGGAGCCATCACTGTAGTAGGAGGGGAGTGGGAAGGAAATCCTTCCAGAATGCTTAGGACACGATAAAGAGGAAAGTTTTCTTACTCCTCACATAAGGTGAAAAGGGGATTTATTTCAGCAAAGGCACAACAGCCTCAATGCCTACAGGATCCACCCAAAGGTTAAAGAAAGGCAGAAGAGGCTGGGTGCGGTGGTCACGCCTATAATCCCAACACTTTGGGAGGCAGAGGTGGGTGGATCACGAGATCAGGAGTTGGAGACAAGCCTGGCCAACATGGTGAAACCCTGTCTCTACTGAAAATACAAAAATTAGCCAGGCCTGGTGGCATGCGGCTGTAATCCCAGCTACTCAGAAGGCTGAGGCAGGAGAACTGCTTAAACCCGGGAGGCAGAGGTTGCGGCGAGCCAAGATCTAGCCACTGCACTCCAGCTTGAGTGATAAAGCAAGACTCTATCTCCAATAAAAAGACAGAGGATGAAATGGGGGGGAAAATTTCAACACATGGGCAGTCCTTATGAAAGCCTGTATTCTGTATTTTAACTTATTTATTAATGTATCGCTTCACCTCCTGACGGCATCCATTAGCTTTCAGTTTTTCATGTTCCATGATCACAAGTTCAAAGAAAGACATCCATGATCATCTGCCCAAGACTTTATACCCCTTCCAGGAGCCACAGAAAAAAGTTAGATCCCCTTAGACGTTTGGGGGAGCACTCTTCTACTTTGCACAGCTAAAAGGAGCAAAAAGAAAATGCACGCCTCTCTCAGTTGTCCTGCATCTGACCTGCATTGTAGAAATCTGATGCTTGTTTTTCCATCCTGGCTGAAGAGGTATAAGCACCAAGGCTGTTCATCTGGGTCTCAAATTGCACAGCCTAGGAAGATCCTGAGAAGATACTCAGGAGCTTACCAAGATGGTGGGGTGCAGAGAAAGTGACCTCACACTAAGTCCTCTTTAGGAAACAGAACACAACAGTGGATTCTTACTCGTGAACCAGAGTTCCGATGACCTCGCAGGAAGACAACAATCAAAGAGAAAATTCCCAGTTATAATGAGCTGTGCATGTCTCCGTGCAACAGTAATGTTCTCCAACCTTTGAAGTTCACAAGGAATATGAAAATCCAACTGGAGGTTCCACGGGGCCACAATGAGGGCCCCAGGGGACCACAGGAACGAGGATCCTGCAAGCATGTGTCCTTGGTTCCCATCTATAAAATCGCCAGATTTAAACAGACAGCTGCTGTTCAAGCTCTTAAAATGCTGTGTGCAGGGAAACGTGGAGCTGCCTCGAGCCTGCCCGCCCAGCAGTCAGTCTGATGAGAAATGCAGTTGAAAGAACAGGCTGGAAAGCCAAATACCTGTCAGGCTCTTTCACACTGCAATGTTGCCAGAAGGTCTATAAAAATGTCATTGTCTCTCAGCTGCCGGTGATTATATTACCCTTTACATTGGCTGTTGGTAATAAAAAAAAAAAAGAAAAGGCAAATATCATTTTTGCACTGCTCTGGCCTTCCTCTGGCCTTTTTCAAATAATAATAGACTAAATATAAAGAGACAGAAGTCATTACTGGGCTCTTTAACTAGTGCCAAGGAAAGTGAATAATTAAGGAAACATTACTTGAAAGAAATTTACACAGTTGCTTTTAAGTTAGAACTAAATAAGAGCTCTTTAAAAATACATCATTTCCCCTTTATCTTAACACAGCATTCGAACTCTGGCCTAATATGGTGGCTACTGTTTAGACCTTACCAGGAAAAAAAAATGCTGTTAGTTTCCATTACCGTATTATAAGTCCCAAATCAAACAGACGCAGGGGAGAGATGAGGAGGCTGGGGAGGTAGAGGCTGGTCTATTTGCACAGCTTCCTTCACATCTGGCCTACCAGCCAATACTTAACTTTGTTCACCTAGGACAGCAATTCTCAGACAGTTCTGTGACTCCCCTTGAACATCTACCTCAATTGCAGGAAGCCTAGCAATTTTTAGATCATGTGCTCAATTTTATTCTCTGAAGCTGTCAAGAAGAGGTATGCACAGATAACCCCTGCCTATGTCTCAGCATCTGACTTGGTGTGCGCAAAGCTGGTCCTTGTTGAGTAATTCCCTAGCCCTCCTCACTCTCTGGCTCTCCCTCCCTTTCCCTGTGTTGCTTCCTTTCCCGCATTTGAGTCATTATCCTCCCATACACAAGGAGAATTAAACAGAGGTGGCACCAGACTCAATGGGACACGCTGTCTATCCACTGGGTGACAATCTTGACCAGTTTGAGCATATTAAGATTGTTTAGCAGGAAGTCTAGGGCTTGGAGCCTCTTTTCTCAGCCTGGTGCCACGACATCAGGTGGTCCTGAGGCCTTAGGCATGGCCACCTCTGCAGTGCCAGACCCAGAGACAACCTGAAGTCTGACAGTCCAGGTGTGTGGCTGCTGGATAACTTGAAGCTGCAATCAGAGAGGCAACCTGTGTTCCTGATGTTGTCTTAGTGCACATTATGTCTGAGGCGTGAAGCACTGGGCCTTGGGTATTATTTGATCATTTGTTCAGACAGATGTTCTGTGTCCTCTCTTCCCAAATGCCCCAACCCTCCATACACAGGTGCTACGTGTGCCATAGCCCCACTCCTTTCCTCCAAAATTTATAGGATGAAATCCCAATCCACTTCCTCAGAATGTAGTTGTATTTGGAGAGGTCTTAAAAGAGGTGATTAAGTTAAAGTGAGGCTATGGTAGTGAGGCCCTGACCCAGTATGGCTGGTGTCCTTAGGGGAACAGACACTAGGGCACAACCGTGTGAGTAGACAGCAAGAGGGTGGCCATCCCCAAGCCAACGAGAGACGCTCATAGTCTCAGGAGAAGCTAAACATGCCCACATCTTGATCTTGCACTTCCCCAGAATGATGAGAGAATTAACTTCTGTTGTTTCAGCCTCCGAGTATGTGATACTGTGTTATGGCCTAACAAAACTAATCCGCTCTACAAAGGTCAATATTTTGCTCCTTCCTGAAAAATGTATTGTATTATTAGGGGTGTTATAACAAACTGCTACAACCTGGGCAACTTAGAACAACATAAATTGAACACCTCACAGTTCTGGAGGCTGAAAGTCCAAGATCAAGGTGTCAGCATTGTTGGTTCCTTCCAAGGGCCCCGATGGGGAACGTGCCCCATGCCTCTCTCCCAGCTCCTGCTGCTTCACTAGTGGTTTTGCTGCTCCTTGGATTCTACATGCATCCCCTGGCCTCCACCTCTGTCTTCACGTGGGGTTCTTCCTGTGTACCTGTCTGTCTCCAGCTCCAAACTTCACCTTTGCATCAGGACACCTGTCATATTAAATTAGGCCCCACTCTAATGACCTCATGATTCTTTTTATTGAGATATAATTCACAAATAAAAAATGTATATTATTTACAGTGTACAACGCATGTTTTATGTATATACATTGTGATAATTAAATTCTGATGACCTTCTCTTAACTTGATCATCCATATTTCCAAATAAGGTCACATCCACAGACACTTGGGCTAATATTTTGATAGCAGCACAAAGCAGATAGATGCCTAGGCAGATAGCGGAGTGTCCCTGATGAAAACCCACCTCCAAGCCAAAGACAATTTAGAGCCTGAAAGCCAAGCCACAAGTCAAATCCATGGACTGGATTGAGAACCAGTCTTCCCATTTGGTGCACTTTCTTCTGATTCCTCTTCACCTATTTTGCATAAACCTATCCTTTCCTAATTGGATTTTCTACACTGCCTTGGTCACCTTTGAGTGGTGGCTTTGCTTTAAGCTTTCTTTGCATACTCACAAACGAGTCAGCATGCACTCCCTGTATTCTGAGCCCATAAAAGCCCCAGACTCAGCCACACGGACAGAGAGAACTCTACCTTCCCATCCCCTCTTCACTGAGAGCTGTTTCCTCACTCAATAAAATTCTCCATCCTCATCACCCTTCAATTTTCATTGTGACTTCATTCTTCCTGGATATGGGACAAGAACTTGGGACCCACCAAATGTAGGGGCTGAGCGTGCAGTCATGGTGGCCATGGGAGCCACAGGCCAGAGCACAAGCCGGACACATCCCCAGCAGGCCAAATAGGTGGTGTGGCCCTTGCTGCA